AACCCCAGGTCTAATTCTTTAGTAACAGCAGTATTTATTTTCAGAAACAACAGACGAAGGAATTAATGAAAGTGTTTATCGATGGCGCCCCTTTTCTTTTTTTATGAATACTTAATGCAAATAGATTTTTAACCTTGGTAATTACGACATTCTCTTAAGCATATTAAAATGTTTTTAACAAGGCTAAAGTGCAATTAAAGAATCGCGTTTAAGCCAAAAGAACAAACAAAAACGCAGCTTTAACGTCGAATGAGCAAGAAGGCGCCAATAAATAAAACAATTCGTTTTATGCGCTTTCAATATTTGACATATAAAGAGGTATTATCCAAAACGAGCTAGTTAAATCAATCAGCTATCAAAAGCAGTGAATATAAACACAAGTTTTACAAAGAGGTGTTAAAAAACTTTTGCTCTTTCATTTTTCAACATTCCGCTGAATTTGTTATAACAGAAACTAATAACAAATTAATATCAACAATATTAGCATAAAATACAATAAAACAGAAAAAGTCGAAAATTTCATATGAAAAATAAGAAAACTGAATTTATTGGAACGATTTCAACGCCGCGGTATAAAATTAATTCCGTGATCTCGTTATTAACCGAATATTAACATACTGGATGAATAATATAAATTAACTGTGAACATTTTCTTATATTTCATACCGCTAATTAACAGATACGATATAAATATTGCAAGTTTATTGCAATAAATATAAAATTCCTTGTGATGAGACAGGACCTGGTATAAATAGTGGGTACTTATTAAATATAAAAACTTTCGAATAAATGGTGGTATGTGTATCTTTAAAAAATGGTTTAATAATAAGAAAATTAGTGCAGATTTGATTAATAGGACAACATTTCATAAATATTAAATACTAGTAGTCAAGATTTATTAATGTTTTCAACATTTCTTTTGCCCAGCTGCATTTCGATGTAAAGTAGGATCATTTTTTTACACACTTAACGATGATTAATAAAACTTTTTACCTTCAATTAATTTTCTTAATTGAACGTAATGTTGGTTCAATATAATAATAGCAACAGAAATTTATGTATTTTTTGCGAGTACGCAAAAGAAACAAGACAGATCAACTAGATGAAATGTCTTAACAATATTAAATCCTGTGTATTATAATTTTCCAATCATAAGCTCCAAATAAAATGCTTGCACGCAGCAGTCAAATTTTAGTTATCGCTTCATTTGTATCGTTTTAGAAATGTCTCATAATAGACACATAAATTTCATTCCATAAAAGTTGTGGATGTCTACCTACTTCTAGGCTATTTATGCTATAAATAAAATTGAAGCTCACAAATGTGTACATCATTTTCGTGTACTTGTATTTCACATACTTTTTATTTAATGATAGCACTAAATCTTTGTTGCTCTGTTTGGGCTCTATGTCGAATGTGTTCCCTTTAATTTAAATTTTGTGGGCGCGTCAATGTGTTGATGCCACCGGTCAGATATACAACCTTCAACGTATGATAAACTGCTAAAGCTTCACGCTGTTGCATAGTAAAATCTATTTGGTGTGTTATTCTTCGGGATCAGGTCGAAACGACCTTCTTTTATGGCCTGAGGTCTCGGGGTAGGTAGCACACAAGACTCGTCCTGGTCGTCTTAAAATTTAAACACTCTCGATGTTTATCTCGTCGTAAAAGAACTTATAGAAAATGCGTTTCTTTGCCTGAGGGAAGTATACATAAATTTTAAAATCTATGGTTAGCGACTATTTTGAACGACGATTCTGCTTTTTGTACAACAAAGTAGCAAGGTCGAACGATGCATTTATGCATTTATTTCTCTATTTTCGAGTTACATGATTAGCTTATTTAGAAAAATATTTTAATTACCTAGTTGTTTACTTGGTCGTGTTAATGTTTCATCACGATTTTATTGTATTATTTTAACCAGATGTTGCTAATATATCAGTTAAAAAAATATTAATGGATTACAAAGCGTGGCTGTTCTTAAATGTGAGGGAGTATTACAAAGATTCTCTATCTTTGTACGTACCAAGCAAAACGTTTTCTTCCCACATTACTTTCAATATTTCAACTAGCTAACTCTATTCAGGAATAATCACCCACCTAGTTATTCTTGCATTTTAAGAAGTAGAAAGGCTTTTCTTATCACCCATTGTGTCATATAAACTATGACTTAGTTCCATATTAAGATATAAAAAATATACAGGTCGTAACAGAAGTTTACAACTATTAGCTTCAAAATATCCTTTCGCAAAATTACAGAACACTCCAATTTAATTTATTATTTAAAAGATATTTGTCAGTAAATTCCTATACAATGAAATAAATAATAATCACAAATCAGTGACCCCATTCGGGATTCATGGATATGATTCGCATTGTTTCTATGCCGGAGTTTCTTAGAATTTCTTTTATTCGTTATCGCAAACAAGGAAAATTATATTAATTTCATGTGAATTATAATAAATTATATGATATTCGTGTTTCGCTCGTAATAAAATATCTAAATCAATTAAAGTCAAAGTTATACGACTTACTAATAACTTTTTTCATAGGAAAGAAACTCTGATTGAGCTTGTAACGGGTTCAGAGCGTTGATTAAACCATAAAATTAACATTTTTTCTCATTAAATAATAGTCGATAGTAAAACGAATAAATTAACAAAATTACTTTTACTTCCCAAAGCACACATTATAACTAAAAGAAACGCATTCATTCGAATTAATGAAACGATAATAGGAATAATTACGAAAACCATTATTTTCTAAGGGCAAATTAATGAATTAAATAGGTACATAAAATATAAAAATTTAAGATTCAATCATTTATATGCACATACAGTACTAAATAAAGAACGAAATAGATGTTTCTATACATTTTATAATAACTCATAAAACAAATAATTTATAATATTAAACGTAAAACCTCACTTATACATATAATGAAAGTAAGTATTAAAATGAAACCGGCAGGATTACGACCAATACCGCGAATGAAATTGGTGATAAAATTATGTATGGTTTAATTAAAGGATGAGTGAATGCATCCCAATTTAAACTGCTATAGTGAAAATAAATACACTAATCATTTCTATTTGATATAGAAAGGGATATGCTTGGTTTTAAAACCGTGGGAGGTTGATTACAATAACCACATATCGTGTAATTTTAAATAAAGATAAAAGAAATTATGAAGATAAAGAAATTATCAGGTAACGGATACCAATGAGAGAATTAGAATAAATAATAAATAAGAAACCTCATTTTTGTTTTCAACAACGCGGAAAAACGGCCACAGTCTAAAGATACATATGTACATATGTATGTATTTTTACTTATTTGTATACATAAATATTTAGCAGTAATGGCAAATTTAACGTAAACAAAAATAGTTTTTGCGGTGTGCACGATTTTTGTGCTACAAAAGTTGCCTTGACATAATAGGCGAATTCTTGTTTCTTTACTTATTTAGCTGTATTAGTTATTTTGGTGAAAAAACTGATGACAACTTGCATCAAATTAGCATTTCGATTCACTTTCCATTCAACTGATTGTTTCTGATAAATAAAATGTATCAAAATTTAAATAAAAATTAAAAACTTTTTCAAAAACATTTTTTTAGCAAATAATATCAATGGAAAAGTCATTCCCCCGAAAGCGTTTCTTCAAATACAAAAGTTTTAATTACTATAATTTGGACGTTACGTTAAAGCACTTCAATAAAGGCTAATAAATTTTAAATTGTTTGGCTATTTTTGTTTAATAGATATGATTCTCAAAACCAATTGAGTTATTGTCGATCCAATATCTATGATGATGTTAATTATAGATTCTCTTCCGCCTATGTATAATTCGAGCACAATTCGGATATGCTTAAAGAATATTTATTATTATTAAATCAATGCTTTATAATAGTATTGCATTATAATAGTAATTAATTTAATATTCATTTTTAAACAGTTTTTGAACAAAATAAACTTACATTGTTGATTAAATGATAATTAAGTATAGATCGTTTAGAATTTGTCTAAAAACATGTGGAGCAATTTAATTTTGATTATCCAATATCCAGTTCGATTTGGTATGCTAGAATTAACGACTCTACAGTCTACACTTTTACACCGTATTTCATATAGCTTTATTTACACGTTTTTTGCTTCCCTAAATTTAAACAACCGTTCATACCAGACTTTATGCGAACATTTTTTTTTCCACGAAGTAACTAGTCATTTTAAGGACTATTCTAAATATTGTTGAGTTTAGTGGTATATTTTAAAAATCGTTTTCCGTAGTAACGTTCAAACTTAACAGTATAATCTGGACGTTGTATCTGAAACGATACGTTCAAAATTCGTGACCAGTATTTTTACAAGCATACAGCCTTTGATTAATTTGAATAAAAAAAATTGACATGATACGTACATAATCAATCACAGGAAAAATTGATTGTACGAAAGCTGAACTTACTTGAACTAATAAAGAACACAAAATTATAATTTTGATTCTCTGACATTTGTGCACACTCTTAAATTACAATTATTGTGGGTAGTATCAATTGCTTCGTTTCATTAGAATGGATACATTTGAAATAAGCGAATAAATTAAAATTTATTTTATTATCAGGTTATTAAAGGTTTTCGAGGAAAAATAATTAAATATTTGTGGATTTGTTAAGATATTAACTGGAACCAACAAGAATTAACTTTGTTAAATAACTTCTGGTAAATGTCCAGTAAACAGTAATCCCACACACGGATCTTTAACGATTTCTTTATTTATTTTATAGCATATTTTCTCCGGAATTCTATATAAGGTAGCAGAGACCACAGTTATTTTGTTAATATCTTTTTTTGCACCTCGCTTTTGCTGTTTTAGTACCAAGAAATGTGGCCGCAAATGTAGCACATGCTGTAAATGTTTCTTATATTTAAATTAGACTAGCAGTCTGACTTCAAGTAGGAAAAATATTACAACAAATAGAATTTTTGAAATGAAAAACTTACAAGTGCAAATATCTGTAAACAGCATTGTGCGGTTGTTTACACTAAGGTCAACGTAGAGGGAGAGCGGCAAAATCTTCTAGTTTTCATTCATCAAAAAATCTGCTAACAAATTCGCAAATATCACAAAAAGTTTTCATACGAAGCGAAAATCGCGCACATCGAAGAGTTTTCGTTAAGAAAAATGAGGCGTCAACATCAAAATCATAAGAGTTACTTAAAAATAATGTAATGTTTGCCTAAACGACCTTGAGTAAACATCCTAAGGTTATTCGAAACTGAGATAAACAGATCTACACCGAGAACTGACACAATCTTACACTAGTCAACAACTAGTGGGATTTCTTCAGAGCGCGGATCCATCTTAAAAGTCCTGTTCAAAACGCTTTGCGTTTGCGCGCAGTTCTTCAACCTACCTTTAAACGAGTTATGAAGATTAGCCGTCCGTAAACATATACAGAATAGTAATGTGTATGTAGTATAGCTACTCCCATAATTTTACAGTTTGGGTTCTTTTGGGTAGGTGACAGTGAAGCCAATGACACCGTTTTCTACGACTACTGCAGATCCCTTTGAAACGTTTCTATTGCAACATGCATGGAATTGCCTGTAACTACTGCTACTTGCAATAATGCTAAAGCCAACAAGTCATTGAATGTTTCTGAGAGATTTTTTAAATGATTTAAGCACGTCTTATTAATGTTTCTATTGTGCTTTTGTTCAATATTTATTTCTTATACCAACTTAACATATTTACGGTTTCATTGAATTCGGGTTAAATGCTTGCCATCAACATCAAAATTATTTAAGAAGTTGTATAAGATATAAACAAAAATCTTCATTATGATGTACCTAAAATCTTGGGCCAAAGTTGTGCAAACATTTTTTTTGGATGTTGTAGCAAGGGCTCATTAAAGTTTTGGATCATCAATGAGGAAGATATTTTCCTCTTTTATTTATAGTACAAATGCCTAAGAATATATTGAAGGCATTTGAAGAATTACGATTTGCTGAATAGAAAAAGAATAAGCATAGGGTAAGGTTAGAAAAAGTTGGTTGTTCTTTGGGCAAAATTGAAACAAGAAATGGCGAAACATCCATCAAAATCGTTGAACTTGAACTACTAAAACAATTATGTACGTTGGTATATTGACGAAAATGAATATAACGAAAATATTATGTGAATAATACAACGCTCATTTATTTCTATATGCCAATCTTCCCTATCAATTACGAGAAATCAATAAAAAATGGGTATATAAAATATCGAAGAATCGTGTCGCTCGCAGTGCCACCCATCAGTAAAAAAGCAAACTACTCTTACACTTTTGTAGAATGTGATACCCTACATCTAGAATCTTTCTTCAAACATATAACAGATATCTCGTTATAAAACTGTTCAATGTTCCGTGATTGTACACTCATACCGTTTTATATCTTGGAAGGAAGCAATTTCTGAGAATCTGGCTAATTTCAAATTTAATCGATATCATTTTAAATAGAACTAATTTGTAAAACAAAAAATAATATACCCATTATAATAGAAGACTTGTAAAATTTTGTAATCTGATTAATTACATCAATACGCATGTATGTTATTAATTAGATTAAATTATAAAATAAACTTCAATTCATTAAATAAAATGATATAGAAATAATCGATGCATCTATATATCAATATTCGTCAACAATTTAAAGGTGAAACTCGAATTGTGGGAAATTGCGAGAAAAACTGCAATTTACGGTTTCGATTACAGCACGGGGTATTGCAGTGCGGTCTGTCAAACGGGATGATTAATAATGACTCGAGAAAAGATTGAGTGAAACTAAATCTCTGTTGAATAGCTGAGGGTGGATATCTGTCAGCAAATCGTTTCTAGCTTGCTGCTATCAAAATTGTTATCTATAACGTATTGAATAGATAAAAATGGCTCGTGGAACATATATTAAGAGTAAAGTTTATTGAATTTGTTACGCGTCGATGTGCAATTTTTGCAATCAGAGCTTTTTTAATTTTTCCAATTTTTCTTTTTATAACTTTAAAGGAAACAATCATTCATTACTTCTGTTATAAAATTGCTTTAATCCGAAATTTTCAGACCAAGGAATTTTTCAATGGCTGACATTAGATACCAATAAAAATTCTTCGATACCGAAATCATATTTTAAAAATATCTGAAAGAAATATTTATGATTACATAGAAATATTTTCCATGAATGTTGTGTGCATTAAAATTTTTCCGATCACGTCGGACATTTTATTATATTCGATTTCATTTTCATGAGAGTGCCGATGTCTGTGTTATCGTATTGTACGGATGGTTGGGGCCACGTAAAAATCTAACATTCATATTAAAAAATTCCCCATAGAATCCATTACAGTCTATCTGCACCATATTAAATCTTATTTGGAATCGTGGCGTCAATAACTTCATATTGACTCCCGTACTGCCGTGTCGTAGTTTCAGAGTTTGGAGATTCGACAAACCAAATGAAATTCTTGGGATGGTCCAATCGCCAACGTAGCTTATATGCATTTCCGCCATTTCAAATCCCGATTCAGGGCTACATACCGCGCGCTACGCGTTCCATGTTTATACAGAAGGTACGGAAATTGCACATTTACGGAAATAGACCGATTTTGCGAAATCATTTTATTGTCAAAAAGAGTCATCGGTAAAATCTTTTCATGGAGTTTTTTGCATCAACGTGAGTTATTGTCAATAGTTATTTTCATTTGCAATTTTAAAACAACCAAATTCTTAATTGAATATGCACCTAAGTACTTAATAATTATTTTAACCACTACAGTATAATTTCTCTATAGGAACACTTACTGAGTATATAATATATCATAAATGGTATTTAATTGGAACATAATGAATAATGATTTTCAAACATTTTAAGTTATAATATACATACATAGTGTTTTGGTAATTTATGGTAATGCCCGAAACGCTGAAAATAGCGGAAACAGAAAATATGATACAAGAAGACAAGCTTGTCTACCAGCACGTATTCACATGTAGATTGGAGGGAAATTTAATATTGGAATACCTGTTAAAGTCGTCAGCGCATTTCATTGAAATGATATTAATTTCCACGAAACAGAAGATCTAATTTAAACTAACCGTGCTTATTCCTATCTACTACTTAAGCGTATTCTAAGAAGTTAGTTATGATTTTATATAGGAATGTTCAATTAAAAGTCTACACAGTAATTTCTGTAAGTTTAATTAAATTCCCATTACCAACGATGCAAAATGAAAATCATTCCGTTTGATTTTGATTAAATACCTATACTTAATTTTTACAGACATCAAGGTTAATTTTCTCGGATTCTTGGTGAAGAGCTTGATGAAGAGCTTCCCCAATAATTATTTATTTTATTTTCCAAGCACATCCGATGTGTAAGATTTTTTTTAAATACTTTGTTCGTTATGATCGTGAAAATGCTTGATGTCAGTAATCTCTTTCGTTTGGGCGATATAATTACATTTTTGTAGTTCAATTATTTGTGCTTCTATAGTGGACTTATAATATTATTTTTCGTAAAATCTGCGTTAATATTTAGTTAAGTACCTGCCCTCCAGAATGGATTGCATTCTATATAATAATGAAAATTATTCCAAAACAAAACAATAGTATTAAGATAAAACGTAGATATCAGGAGAATACCTATTGAAGAAAATTCGGGTTGTTTATCAAACAAAAGGAAACAATTCTATATCTACATTGTGTTACAAATAATGGAGAGTCTTCTTATACCCTTAATATCTAATGCTCATACCTTAACGTTTCAGCAAAAATACAAATTTTAAAAATATATATTATCAAATAGGTTTTACATATTATTATATTTTAGATTCATACACTTTTAACGAGGTCTCTTAATTAAAATTATACGCGAGAGAACAAACCGAAGTCCAAAAATAATCCTCATTAATATATCTTTATGGTTGAAATAATTTCATTTAAAACTAACATTTCCTACAAACTGCTCTCTTTTGCATCAACTGATTTGATTAATTAATGCGATGCACGGTAGAAGAATTTCGATTAGTGCATCGAAATGCTAGTAAATAATTTCAATTAAGTTGATTTGAGCAAACAGGCGAAAAACAAAAACAAAAGAATTATCTCAACTATGAACTGGATTCAACTACAAAGGTTATAACTAATATAATTGGTAAAATACCTACAAATCAAAATTGCTATTCCTAAAATCAGTCACGCATAACATAACAAAGTTACATCACAAACCAATAGCTGAAATTGGCTAAAATTTATTCCATTAATTCTGATTCTCCCTATAGTCCCTATGAGTTTGTAAGCACCTTGTGTCGGTATTTAATCACACAGCTACAATGGAATTACCGTGAATACTGACATATGTAACTCGTAATGATGCATGCCAGAATTGAGATCGCTTATCAAACAATGCACAAATCTGTTTTGTTGCAGAAAATTATACAGAAAACGCGAGAATATAATTAATAGAAAATAGTACAAGTTATATTAAAAGTACTATTTCAAAGGAATTGTGAAGAATATAGCGACAGGTAAGGGAAATTTTTGGCTATAACCAACGGAATCAATAAATTAAATGTAATTAAGTTGGAATTGGAAAAGGAAGGAATAATTACAAAGAAGAAATGTCGGAAAATTGGCTGCGAGAATATGTCAATTGGAGAAAATCATTTCCGAAATTTTTAACGAGTAAATTTAACTATTTGATCTTTCATCTACCATCTGGTATTAACTTCAATAGCTTAATATTCGCTAATTTACGAGTTGCAATAACACTTTCATCCCAAAATATAAAACAATCGAGCAATTAGCCGTTTTAAGGGCAGAAAGTAAAGCCATCTCTTTTCCTTTCTTTAATTTTCTTTTCAAATTAACAAACGATTTAATACTTTTACCCTGGGTCCAACCTTTTAATTCGGGAATTTAATTAAAATTGTATAGAAATAATAGTCAGTATTTTACAATTTGATGAAATTCCCTTACAGTTCTAATTAGAAAATTAATCATTGTCGTATTAATTCAATTCTGAAACAGTATAAGATGTTGTTTTTATAAGAATAATAAAGTCATTTTTTAATGAATTTTTAACAAGTAGGAGTTTGCTTTTTAGGAGGAATTAAAGTTCTAGGTCAGTAAAATTCTTAAAAATAAGCACTTTCCGGTAAAAATAATCCCCTTAAATTATGGTTAATGCAAGCTGTAAATAGGCAGGTAGGCGCGAAATAATCTCCAGGCTATTAGTCCCTAATTTCCTTGCAAAAATTTGTGTAAAATTTATCCGGAAAATTCA